CTCTTCCTCCTGCCCACAGCAGATAATCCTTCATGCTGAAGGGGTGGAGAAGGCTCAGGATTAGTTCTCTAGCTCCTAAAGGAAACACAGGGCAAAGAAATGGGCTGATGGGCCAAGGCAAGAGGGAAGTTAAGTTTGAAGACTCTGTTGGATAATTGCTATCCTGGCTTCTTCCAACGAGCAACCTGACACATAGGGACTGTGCAGAAAAGGGCTCGGTCACTGGCCCAGCTTTGGCACAGCATATCACAGAATCACAGAATCACTAAGGTTGGAAAGGACATTCAAGATCATCAAGTCCAACCGTTAACCCAACGCCACCACGCCCACTAAACCATGTCCTGAAGCACCACATCCACACGTTTTTTGAATACTTCCAGAGATGGTGACTCCACCACCTCCCTGGGAAACCTGTTCCAATGCTTGGCCACTCTCTCGGTGAAGAAATTTTTCCTAATATCCAATCTCAACCTCCCCTGGTGCAACTTGAGGCCATTTTCTCTCGTCCTACCACTAGTTACTTGGGAGAAGGGTAACTAGAAGAAGCGTAACCTAGCTCCAGGCAAAGGCAAGCCGTGCAGAATGGTGAGGAGAAACATATTCACAGAAAGATGGCAGCAGAAAAGAGGGGAAGGTCTCTGGGGTTTCATTTTCCCCAGTTAAGTTTCCCAGTTGTCTGGACTGAGTTCACTCAGTAAATCTCCAGCGTGAGAGATGCAGAGCGACAATGAAGGGGGAGCAATCTCAGTTGCCTTTGTGGTATCTAGCAAGAGCAAGGACAGCCATGATGCAGTTCAGATACTTGACTCCTGGATGCCTGCAAACTCAGCAAAATTTTCTCCAATATGAGAAAAATAACTACCAGCTCTACTTTCTGTTTAAGAACATCCTTTGGTCAGACTCACTGTACTCCAAACGGCCTCATAGCAGTGCTCCTGCCCTCAGCCTCAACATCAGCGTGAGGAATACAACAGGGAAGACATGCGAAGGAAGGCAATTCCGCACATCTCCCTGATTAGCGGGGTTTTCCATCAGCTGGTAAGGTCAGTGCTGCTGCAGGCTCCACTTCACCAGCCTCTCCCTCTTTCCGCATCTCACGCACTCAGAAATGATTGGATTTTTTTATTTACATACATAATGTCACGCATGAGCAGTCAGAGCAATGAGTCTCCCTCCCCGCTAGCACAAGAAAGTCACTGCACAAGGAAGTGCAGTAAAATACACTGTCCTTTACACACACAAAGCTATGAGTAGACTGGACATTTATCATCTGAGAGCGTGTCAAGTAAGTTGATTTTGGAAGAAGAAGACAGAGATAAGGCACTACTATGGAGTGGCTGTCCTGGCAAGTCTCCCTGCGCAAGAAGTACCCAGAATCCCGGACATGCTGCCTGCTTTTTCTGGATCTTGAAAACCTATTACAGGGAAAAAATGGTGCCTCTGAGGAGGACAGTAGCTCGAAGGCACTCTGTGTACAAGTTACAATTTAGAAAGTATTCTTTCTTCAGCAGAATATACAACACTTTACTCCAGTGAATATATTTATTATACATTACATCAATATAACTGTAGATGCACCAAAGCATTGAACGTGCTTTCTTGCTATACATCTGCTCCCCTCCTTTCCCAGCAGAAGTTAGGTGCTTTGCACACATCTGCTCTTTAAGCGCAACCTGGCAGCATTATAATTCTCCACCAGCATTTGAAGTCTGACCAACACAACCCATCCTTTAAAGTTAGAGGGGATAAAACTCAAAGGGAAAGCGCTGAAATATATGCACCTCCTTAAAAAAATCAAAGCAAATTAAGTCTCTCTACATTTATCTTCAGTGTGAAAGCGGGTGGATGTTCCCTGTCTACATCTCCCCATCTATACCTGATGTCACGTTTCATACATTTATTGTCTGGTTAGAGCTGCTGGGAGGAATTAAGCAATGCAGAACAGATTATTAGTGTAAGGTTGCCTTGGAGTAACAAGGATTAGTTTAATTTAAAAAAAAAAAGGTAAGCTGTCATAAATATTTACATGAAAATTTAATTTCACCACCCAAAAATAATAAAAGTATCCAGCTTTTTATGCAGTGCTTTCCAGAAATCACCGGGTACTTTATACACAACATGAAAGCAGCTGGGGCAGGCAGAGGACCTCCGCCACAGCAGCGTCCAGGAGAAGACCCCAGTGTCGCCTATCCCCCAAACATCCCAGGACAGGGCCAGTGCATGAGCGACAGCCCTTGGCA